TATATATGAAACCTTTTCAGTTCAATTCAAATTTTTACCATTTTCACTTTTTACAATAAGTATGATTTTTCATGATTTCTGACTTCAGAACTTGACCTAAATTCTGTAAATATGTTAAATAATTAAATGATTAAATGTAATCCATAAATGTAATATAAACATCATGCAAGTTTTAATAGAGAGCGTGGCAAGTTTTTTTCAAGTTTATATTGGACTTTTATCAGACGCACATATGTTACGATTCAGATGTTTGAGGCACTATATTTTCTATTTTAAAATATTTATTTAAAAATATATAAAACTATGACACTATGTTAACATGTTAATTGACATCCCTAAAAAATAAATAAATCATAATTTAGTTTTTTTCTTACTTAAAGGGGTCATATGATGCGATTTCAATTTTTCCTTTCTCTTTGGAGTCGATAAAGGTGAAATACACAGAATAGGGCGAGAAAACAATTTGTTTACTTGCACAACCACAGCTGTGCTTTAGTTCCAAAACTGTGAATAGGTGAAGCTGTGTAGCTTCTTTCCTTCTGCTATGGACATCGTGTTGAAGTGGTTTAACCAAAAGGTTGGAGGTTCAAACCAACAGTTAAGGTTTAGATAAAATGGCCCTATTAGACTGTGCTAGTAGATGCCACGGCTACATTCTGCAGTCAAGAAGCATCTTTTGATGACCATTCAAAAATTTGTTTTAAACATCCAAAGTTAAGTGCCGCTATTATTATTGCATACATTTGAATCCTAACACAGGATTTTTTTCAAACTTTTTAATGCTAAAAACCCCCAAATATTATTATCCCCCTTCCTGAAATATAATAACATCTACATTTGTAAAAGACACTGAGAAAAATGTATATTTTTCTAATATTAATAAAATATAAATAAAATATTCAGTGACATTATACAGATGTTTCTTTTATATTGTCATATTAAAGCAAATTGCATAGATCCCAGACCCTAGTTTGAAAACCCCTGCCCTGTCATCAAGATTGGCAAAATCTTGTTTTACACAAATTCAGATCTGCCTTCAGCAAACAAGAACTTATATGTAACAAGAAAGCCTGTAATATTTCCAGCTACTCATACAGGCACCATACCTGCATGTTATACTCTTGAAAAGATAAGCATGTTTTGTTTTTCACCAAAATGTCCCCAGGGAGGGGTACATGCAGGCGAACATGGATTCCGACAGATTTGGAAGGTTTTTGCGCTCTTAAGTTGATGCGATAACATTGGCTCAGTGGAAAATATGAAACATTCATGTGCTGCACTCATGCAGGAAATTTAAATTCCAGAGTGATATTTTCTCTCCCTCACCCAAATCAGGGTGAGATGGGGTTTGCCGGGTTAGAAAAACAATCGAGAGTGAGGAATGCCCTTAATGTTTTGTGAATCTGGAGACATACTTAAATAATTGAAGAATTTCACCTACATTTCGGATGAACACATTTAGTCACACATGGGGCCGTGTGTACAAGAGCAGGCCGAAATCGCGGCTTGTGTCAGAGCAATGGAGGGGGGATAAATGAAGAGGAACGTATTGCAAATCCACATCGGTCAGTTGGTTATCAGCACAGAGAAAGAGGTGTGTGTGTGTGTGTTACGGGGCGAACGAGACATGAGACTTGCGGATCCATTTGCAAAGCTTTAATAGGAGAC